CGCCACCGCCGCCGCCAATCAACAGGGCGCGGCGCCGCTGGGCGCGAGGAAGCGCCGGTGCTGGCCCCAGCGTCTCGCGCCCATTGATCCGCAACCGTAAACCCTGGGCCCCGCACCTTGCGGCCGTAGGGCTTGTTATCGCACATCTCAGGGGACAGGTAGTGGGGGGTGCCCACAATCGTCGACGCCATGCTCGCCTCTGCAGGGAGGGAGGGGCGCAAGGCAGCAATGCCCACATGAAATTAGGCGACGCACGGGTGTTTCTGCTATTGCCGCCATGCTCGCCGCTTTGGAGCCACGGGGGTTGCGAAATCGCGATGCAGGCGTCACAAGAGGGAGCACACGCGCCGTCTTGCCATGGTGAGCCCATGCCCCAACCGCGGCTGAAAACTAGGTGCCCAAGAGCACACTAGGGTCTGGCCGGACCGCTAGACCGCGGCCGGTGGGCCCAAGACGGTGCGGTCCACCCACCCGAGTTGCTGATTTTCGAGACCCCAAAGTCGCCCAGCTTGAGCAGCCCGCTGGACGTGGCCAGCACGTTTGAGGGCTTGAGGTCCCGGTGCAGGATGCCCTGCGCATGCACACACAGCAGCGCCAGGCACACCTGGGGAGGAGCACAGGGCGGGGCGTGCACAGGCAGGCGGCGATGTGAGGGGCATCGGGGTCGGGGAGGACGACACAAAGGCGTGTGCGGCGCCCCGCATGGGAGGGGTGGAAGCTGCAGGCCCCGACGCAAAATTTTTGCAGGCCAGGCTCAAACACCACACCTACATATGTCAAAAAGGACCTTCCAGGCGCCTCAGATGAGACCAGATCGGTTCAGATCGGACCCGGTGACTCGCCTGCACAAACTTGTTCATGACGTCATCCTCCGGCAGCAGCACCCCCTTGCGGCTGCGGATGAGGCCCGTCAGGTCGCCGCCGTCGCAGTACTCCATCACAATGTTGATATACACCTGCAGCGGGTTCGTATTCCGCAAAAAAATCTGGAACTCCGATTCAAACTCGCGTGTAAGAAGGAGCGTCCAAGGTTGCCGCCGCGCCGCAGCGGGCAAGCAGGGCAACCGCCTTGTGCCGGGTGCACGCGTCCACACCGTCGCCCGAGCCGCGGCTGCGCGACCGAACCTCTTGCTCTGCCCGTCACATACGCATCCAGGTGCGCCGGCAGCGACGGTGGGGTCCGATGGTGGGAGGTGTCCCCTCACCTCGTCCATGAAGCAGTCGTGGTAGTGCACAATGTTGGGGTGGTCCAGCTTGGCCAGCACCTGGACCTCGTCCATAGTGGCCGCCTTTGGGGGGGAGAGGTGTATGTGGGGTGCGGGGTCGCGTCAGTGTCAGAGATGACAGTGTGTGTGTGTGTGTGTGTGTGTGTGTGTGTGAGTCTGTGGTGTCGTGTGTGTGTGGTGATGTGGTAATGTGTGTGTGTGTGAGTGTGTGTGTGTGTGTGTGTGTGTGTGTGTGTGTGTGCAAATTGCGTGTGTACGTGAGATTGAGCATGCGCTTGCATTAAGGTGCTGTGTTGGTAGGGGGCCCAGCGCCGCCCATAAGGCGACAGGCTGCAAGTAGAAGACGGGCGGCAGGCGAGGAACGCGGGCGTGCGCCATCCAGCAGCGGCCGCGCGGTGCCCGCCGGGCGGCTTCGGGGCTGGCCGCCGGCTCGCATCTCGTGATTGTGTGCTTCGAAAGAGCGCGCGTGCCAAGCTGCCGCACCTTCTGCTTCGACGTCAGTGCAGTAGTCTTGATCTCTTTGACCACCACCACCCGCCCGTCTGCCAGCCGTCGCGCCCTGCGGAGGACAACGGGGACTGCAGTTGGTCCGTGCGGCTGCCGCGGGATGCGGCGCTAGCTAGTGGCGCTGCGCCGCCGAGCACGATCGAAGGGGGACGGCTGCTCGCATGCGCGAGAGTGCCACGCACGGTGAAGCTGTGTCTCGCACGCGCTGCAATACAGGGGCCCCACGCACTTGCAGACGCGCCCGAAGCCTCCAGATCCGATCTCCTCCAAGAGCCGATACTCCTTATACAGCCACTGGTGGGGCCGCGGCGTCACGCCAGCGCCCATGCTGGGAGAGCCGTCCTCTGACATGCTGCTGCATGCCCCCAAGCTGCGCTCCGTCCGCAGCTGGTGCAGCCGCCCGCCCGATCCCGCCACGCCAGCCGCGCTGCCGCGCGCCCCCGTGCCGCCGGCGCCCGCGGTGCATGATTCGCCGCCCGAGCTGGCGCCGCTGCCGCTGCTGCCGGCGGTGTTGGCGGCGTCGCCCTTGACCACCTGGTCGGCAAGCAACTGCCAGCCTGCCATTCAAGACGGCGGACGGCGAGGCGGTAGGGCACGGCGGTGCATGGGTGCTGGGCCGGGCAGCAGCCCAGGGCGTGCAGCACGCGCGTAATCGCGGGCGCAGTTGCCATGGGCGTGCCGCTGCGGGCTGCAAGCACCAACTTATTCCATGTCGCGCGAGACTTATATGTCGGCCCCCGCGAAGCAGCGGGGCTGCGCGCAACTGGACACACACGCATGCCCGAACCACTCACCAGTGAGCGTCCCTATGCTCCTTCGATGCTCCAGCTGCACCTCCATGCCGTCGTATGACGAACAGGTATCACTCGGCGTGCTCCTACGCGGGGCTGGCCATAGCCTGCGGATCGGCTGCCGGTAGACTCGCCAAGGTGTGTCGTCGTCCTGTAAATCGTTTGGGAAAACGCTATTATTTGATGTCAAGTCCGGGTACATCTGTGGAGGATCCCGGCCGACCCTGTCGTGGAGTGGATTGTGTCGGTGCCCGTTGGCCTGTCCTCAGGAATGGCTTGATAAGGGCATGATGAAGCAAAGGATGCTGCCAATAACGAATGGGCAAGACGCGGTAGTGCGTGGTTCTTTGGCCCGTTGGTGTGGCTGGGCGTCGCGTCGGACTCGTGGCTGGGTTCGGCAAGCAAGAACGCCGCCGCGAAGTACGCCTGTCCCCGCGGATTTCGGGTCAAGCGGGAGCCCTCTGCTGTAAGCTTTTGCGTGCATTGAGTGAATGTACAGACCCTGTTCCCTCACAGTGCAGCACCCTCCTGACCTCGTGTCAACGAACCGCGTCAAATGCCTCTCTTCGGGCTTGTAGTAGGCAGCAGGCCGTCGCACAGCAAAGCACAGCGCCACACACTCGATGCATCGTACATCTGGCTCATAACAGACACACTGACCCATTTTGACGTGCATCCCCTGCTGTTTGGTTCAGCTGGACGCGCGCTTGTGCGTGTCTTCCCTGGTCCACTCCTGCCCAACTTCACTGGAGGTGCGCAACACCCGACCCTTGGCGACGGCGCGACCTCCCGGGCCTCGGCATTGCCCAATCATTGGCAATATCGCATGCAGACAATGTCACAGCAAAGTCACTGCTGATGCATCCCTTTGGGCGCCAAGTGGCAGCTCAAGGGGCAATGCCGTCACCAGCACCAGTGACAATGCCCTCGCTTGCATTGCTTCAGGTGTGTCGGTTTCTTGTCGACAAAAGTGCATAGATTTATCTTGCTAGACCTTTTGCACGAGCATTTTGTTCCTGTTGAACGGTTCATCACCTGCGCACAGCGTTCAGGTCAGTAGCCGCGTTTGCTGGCATGTGTGGGAGGTGTTGCAACGCGCGAATCAATCCACTCGATCTGTGCCAGTCTTAATGCAACGCGGTCCCGTTACAGGGCGCGAGCAGGGTCACCAGCTCTGGTCGAGTGTTGGGCGGGAACCTTGCGCGGCCAGCATGGAGGGCTAGCAACGGTTGAACGCCTTGGTTAGATATGATCGTGAATCAAAATTAATATACATCACGGCAAGCGGCTCGACAACCTCACCTCACCCGCCGGTTGCACACGCAGGTGTCGCCACAGCACGCCACGTCACTCCAGTCCTCCACCTCCCTCCAACCAGGCGCCGCAAGCATGGCAAGGGCAGCCCTCCTGCAGCTGCTGGTGGTGGCATTGGCCGGTGAGCCTGCCTTCCCAAATGCAGCCGTGGTCCAACCTGGAGCCATTGCAGATGCGCGCCTGTTTCCCCCCACCCGCCTTCACCAGAAGACTACAGCCCCATGCTCTGCGCCTTGCGCGCCCAAAGCCCACCAAACAACCGAGTTGTGCACCCTCTGAATCCCCCGTGCCTCCATTCCCTCCTCGCTGCAGCAAACTCTGCCGCTGCGGCACGTACACTGCAGCTGTTTGGGAAGGGCGCGGTCGCGCCGGCGGCTGTGCAGCCGGTGGTGGTGCAGGCAGCCTACGCGCCGCAGCCCGTCGTAACCTACTCGTACGCAACCGCCCCGGTCGTCGTGGGCGCGGTGTACCCCCAGGCCGCGCCGGTCAACAAAGTTCACCCGGTGCGTACGGGGGAGGTGGCAGGTGTGCAGCTCTGGGCACTCAGAGCCTTTCAACGGCCTGCGCCCACATCCGCCTGTGCTTGCAAGCTACTTGGACAGCTCTAGCCGCGCTTGCTTGGCTCAGCCCACGCTGCGGACACAATTAAGCGACGGTGATGGGCCTACCCATAGCGGCGCCCCCGCGCTGCCGGCCGGCCCGGGATTTTCAACCCTGCCCACAACTCTACTCAACAGTCCAGCACGCTCATATGGTTTGTAGCCCTGACCCTAGGCATGACCACCCCCACCCTTGTTCAATCTGTTTCAAAACCCTGCAGAAGGAGAAGATCAAGTCAGTGATCAGCTCCATAATTGGCCAGATCTCAGGCGGCGGCGACGCCCCCTCCGGCCCGCAGCCCGCGGCCGCGTACCAGCAGACCGGCGCCGTCATGACCGCCGCGCCCGTCGTCATCGGCAGCGGCGGCGGCGTTATTGTCAGGTGCGCAGCTGACACGTGCCACCGCGCCTCTGCGCCCCATGCCCGCGCTGGCCACCGCTCGCTTTGTTGCCCCCCCTCCCCCGCTCCCCCCTTGAGCTTGCCTCCGACTCGCCTGTTCTCCCTGCGTCCTGGGGACAACATAAGTACCATCCTTATAACCAAATTCCCTAAACCCAATTTCTAAGCATATAAACCCTAAACGCATACCGCAAAATACAGTGGCCCGGCACCCTTTGGTGGCGCACCCGTCTTCCAGCAGCCCGCTTATGGCCAGCCCGTCTACGCCCAGCCCGTCCCTTACGGCCAGCCCGGCGGCTACTTCGCTCCTCAGCCCGTCTACGGCCAGCCCGGTGGCTACTACACCCCGCAGCCCGCGACTGGGCCGCAGCCGATTTACGGCCAGCAGGGCGCCCCCATGTATGCCCAGCCGCAGCCCATGGTTGGCCAGCAGCAGGTGCCTGCCGGCCAGCAGCCGGCCCCCACGGCTGCTGTGCAGCAGGCGCCGCCCGCGGCAGCAGCCGCGGCGACACCCGCAGCGGCGCCCGCGGCGCCCAAGGCCCCGTAAATCCCCTGCCACTTTTGAACCGTGCGGAAGGTGTGTGCGGGAGCAAGCCCTTGGCCAGCAGCCACAGCAAATATAAGTTGTGTTTGATTTGTGAGTTGATTCTGGGCTTGTGCACAACCAAGTCCTAGCTGGCAGTCTGACCTTTTCATGCAGAGTATACATACGCGGCCCAATTTGCTTACCAAGTTCCTTTCAAGTCACACAGCTTCCTTGCTCTTGCTTTTGCACTTGATTCCTTGCTCGAGCGGCGCACTCGCTTTGTCGGCGCGCGCGGCAACGTGCGGGCTTAGAGTGCACAATAAGTGGTCACCCAAACGCGCAATAGCGCAATCCAAGGCTCTCAAGATGCAGAGCTCGTCAGCTATGGATGTGCCTGCATGTGTTTGCAGATACCTGGGCATCTTCCCTGTTACATGTATCAAGGCATGCCTCTCGAGGGTTTGGCCTCCTCCAGAAACACAGTAGTACAACCGTCGGTCCTGGTTGTGTCGTACTGGCCCAGCCTTCACGCACATGTATGTGATGACATTGTAAGGGGCACTTGCAAGGTGAGAGCAGCATGATGCTTGCCGCTGCGGCATCCTTAGCAGCTGAAGGCAAGCTCCCACAGGGAGTCTGGAATGGGACCGCTTGTGTGATTTGTGTGGGAGGGGTGACGCCATGCAGGATCCAGTGCAGCAGCTCCTGCAGCGGTGACGGCAGCTCGACGCTGTTGCGACCCGGCCAGCAAGTGCTGATGTATCCTGGGGGGAACCCAGAAAATACGAGCATAGTTTTGCTACTTTATTGTTGTCGAGCCGTGTATTGTAACCGCGGCACGACGGTTCGAGGTGTTCCGCAGCAGCCGCGACACTCGGCATGCACGAGCAGACAAACGACATTTGATATGTTGCGGTTTGAACACATATCCAGACTCTATCAGCTCAGTTTCAAGTCTTTCCAGTCCGATTGCATCGCCATCAGCTTGCCGAGCAGCCGCGGACCCCGCTGAAAGGCCGCTTAGGCTCATACACGGGAACTATCGTCGTGATTCGTGAATTTAGCGCGCTTTATTTTGCCGTGCGTGTCAGGCTAGGAGTCTCCACAGCACAGCTTGTGCTAGCAGCTCGACCTGACTGTCGTGCGGTGACCAGCTGATATGGTGCGCCTTCGTCGAACGCCCCTCGCGGTGCTGGCAGTGCTGTTGCTATCAGGTGGGTAAACTCTTTGTACGATTTATATCCTGACCGTGTTGTGTCTTGGCCTTGGGCTGCGACAGCAGGGCGGCCTACTGTCGGGACCTGAACAAACCCACCCGGCTGCCGGGAGGGCGGCTGGCGGCGGGCCGCCATCCCCTTCCCCCCTGCCCCCCTGCCTGGTGCCGTGCATCCCTTCCTTGACTCCTCCTCTCCCCGCGCCAACCGCTGCCGTCCCTGGACCCGCAGCCGCCAGCGTGTCCGCCTCCCGCGAGCTGCTGCAGCTGGGCCTCGGCAAGGGCAAGGGCAAGGGCGCCGTCCCCGTCCAGCCGCTCTCCATCGTGAGCAACGCGGCGTACGTGCAGCCGACACTGCTGCCGATGTCCAACGAGCCCGTCTACCAGCCGGCCGCGGTGCTGCCTCTCGACCAGATCGTGAGACCCGCCCTCGCCGCGTCGCGCCGCCGCCACCTTTCCGACGACCCCACTGCCTCTGCCGCTTCCGCCGCCGCCGCCGCTGCTGTCGCCGCCGCGGCCGCCGCGTTTTAACAAAGTGCACATGCCGGGCAGCTGAGGGACCTTCCGTGGTGCCGTTCTTGCAGTCTCATCCGCCCTGGAGCCACAAGCCGCGGCCCCGGCGCACTTGAAACTCGCCCTCTCGTTGCCCCAACTCACCTGCAGAAAGACAAGATAGCGCAGGTCAAATCTTCGGTCACAAGCATGTTCACGCCCAAGCCCGCGCCCGCAGTACAACCCGTGTACGTGCAGCAGGCGCCTGTGGCCATGGCCCCCATTTACGCCAGCGGCCGCGCGCTGCCGGCCGCACAGCCGTACCTCATCGTGCCGGTGAGGGGGGGGTCGCTCGTGTCACTCGACTGGCGCGGCCTCGCGGTTGTGCTGCTCGATGCTGGACGGCCGGCTGCTTCAGCTGTCGCGCTCGGCTGTTGACACTGGAGTCCACCCCTGTCTCTCCTCCTGGGATCCTTGGGGCATTTTAAATGATGTGCGTGTTTGTTAAGGCGGACCTTGGAGTATTCAAGACGCACCAATGGCATATCCATGAGACCTCTTGCAATTTGAACCCTTTCAACAAAGGCACCATCCCGGCGACGCCGCACGCACCCCTCGCCCACACCGCCTGTCCCGCAGAAGTACAAGTGGTACGACTTCCCCCTTATCAAGAGCGTGCTGTCCCTTGGCATCACCACAGTCAAGACCCCTGACCCGCCGTACGTCGCACCCCAGTACAAGCCCGATGACAAGAAGGCCTTTTTCTCAAACATAGTCGGCAACGCCCTCAACAGCGGCGGCTTCGAGGCCGGCCCCGCTCCTGGCAGCGGCGGCGGCGGCCCCGTGCCGGCGGGCGGCGCGGCGATGCAGTACGGCGGCGTTCAGCAGATGGGGACGAGCGGCCCCGTCGCTGCCGTGCCGTTTGGGCTGACACAGGCGCAGCCGACTGCAGTGGCGGCGCCCAAGCAGAACATGGTGGTCGTCAGCTCCCAGCCGCAGCAGCAGATGCTCATGCAGCCTGGCGCTGCGTATGTGCAGGCGCAGCAGGCGTATCAAGGGGCCCCCGGGTCGCACACGCAGCCGCAGCAGCTGTACGGCCAAGCGCTTGGCGGGCAGCAGCAGGCAAACCCTTACCCGGCAGCGCAGCAGCACACGTTCCAGGCGCCTTCGCAGCCGATTGCCAACCAGGCGGCGTTTGCGACGGGCAGCATCGCTCCCATGTACGGCTGACCTGGCAAAGCTTGCAATCTTGAAAAGGATGCAAGCCGCATGCGCTGAGCGACATCGCGTGCGGTTTGGACCTGGGCTCTGAAATTCCAGCTGGCGTTGTTGACTTGCTGCTTGCTGTGTTCATGGCAGGCTCCTATACACACCTGCTTGCCCTGCGCAGGGCGGGTTACAATATGCACACTTAGGCGCACTTTTTTGGGGGGGGGAGAGGGGGGTTGAACCGCCACGTATGAAAGGCCGGCAGCCGCAGTGTCTTTACGCACTTGGGTGGCTGCATCTTGCCGCACGACGCTCTGCTTCAGAGGGAGACGAGACCAACAAACAGTACGCCGCTGTGAAAGCCGCAGCGGGGGTGGCGGGGACATCCCTGATTGCCGCTGCCTCCTTGCGTATTTGGAGGTTCGGGGCCTGGCCGCCTTCCTGCGCCATGGCCCTGCGGCACAATTGCTTATGGTCCTGGGTATTTTCGAGGCAACAATTGATCCGGAAGTTTTCTTCTGTGCGCCGCTTGCAATTAGTCCTCGTGCAGCGTGCTTCTGATGACGTACGAGCAAAGAGAGCTCGCGACGCCCTTGCTCGCGCGAGCTGACTGTGGACCCACGCTCCCTGTCAGGCCAGGCCGGACTTGGAAGCGCTCACCCCAGTGCAGTGAACCCTAGGCGGGTCGCTCTGGTATGATGTAACCTGGTCAACAGGGGGCGCGCAGCATGTCAACAAGTCGATGAGCACCCGGGGCCAATTGCAAATGCCGGTGGAGGGCAGGCGCCAAAGCCCAGGCAGCAGGCTAGTGTCCAGCGCACTGTGGCGGCTCAGCTGTGCCAGGATCGCCTGCGCCTGCTTGTCGTGCTTGTGTGTAGTCATGGAGGCAAGCTTACGCGTTGTATGCACGGCCCGCGCAATGTGTGAGCGAGTCTCGACACACTCGCCATTGGATTCCCGGGGTCGGCGCTTTGACCGAGCTTCGGGTGACAGATGCCGGTCGGCGCTTGTGCATGTGGTTTGTGAACCAGTTGTCAAAGTCAGAGCTCACCAGCACACGTTTACGCATACCGTTCCGACCTTTGAAGCGCGGGGCGTCCTCGCAGGACGAGAGACACCCACCCGTTCTCAGGTGTGTGACAGCGACGAGCATCATATAAAGTGAATGATTATGGTATTTACAGCATGTGGCGCAGGCCGCGTAAACCAGCCCCACCTGCCGGCCAAAGCGCAGGGTGATTGATCCTCGCTGTCACGGTGTGGTGAGAAGCACATTCAGCGCGGTCGAGAGCTAACGCGCCGCATACGTCAACAAACGGCGCTGTTCCGTCCCAGACTCGACTCGCCCCTCCCCCAGACTCGATCTCTGGGCTCGCACACAGGATGGCGTCCAGGCGGGTATTGGCTTTGATGCTATTGGCCACGATGGCAGGTGAGCCTCGCCACTCGAGCGGGCCCCTCGATGCGAGGCCGTGCTGCGATGCACAGTTGCGTCACCCAGGCTTTCGCGCGGGGGTTGCCTCGGTCATCACCGTCGCAGGACGGCGGGTGACCATGCTTTCCCGCGCACCATGCCCCCCAACCCACCCGCACAACGCTGCGACGCTGCCCACCCTGCCCCGGCCCAAACCGACGCCGCGCTCACCCGCACCTGCGCCCGCGCACCCCTCTGCAGTGAGCGCCGCGTCCGCCGGCCGCGTGCTGCTCTCGGGCGACGCCAGCGCCACGGCGGCGACCAAGGATACTAAGCAGGGCGGCAAATTTGACGGCAAGGGCATCATCAAGAGCCTCATCCTCGGCAAGGGCGGCGGTGGCGACACGAGCGGGCCCGCTCCGATCTACACTGCGCCCACCGCGACGCGCGTGGTGGTGCAGCAAGTCAAAGTGCCTGTACCGACGCCGGTGCCCGTGCCCGTCCCCAACCCGGTGAGTGCCTCTTTCCATGCTCGCCGTCCCGAATGGCAAGGCGCCAAGCGACGGGAAGGCGCGCTCTTCGTATGCGCTGAGCAATACCGCGGCAGGCTGCCGGCCCGGGGCGGACTGCCTGCGTTTCTGTGGCGACCTTTTGCCGCATGCGCGCTCCCATTCTGACATCAATTTGTGTCACCCCTTTGCAGGTGCCGACCCCAGTGGAGGTCCAGGTGGGTGGGCCCTGCTGCCATTCTGCAAAAATTTTCAGGGCTACGGGCCGCCTGTGGGGAGCTGTCGTTGGCCCTGATTGTTCGATCAACTGCCTGATTGTGGCTTCACACGATGGGAGGAAAACAATGCAACTCGGCAGTCCTGATCGGCTGCTCACACATGAATAGGATAGCCCCAGAGGTGGACATCGTCGTTCCAGAAAGCGGCATGCGCTGTGCTGCGCTTTGCTGATGCCATCTGCGGTTGCAAACAGTGCGCTCAAATCAATCAGGCCCCTGACTCTGACGGGCCCATCCCGTTGCTTCCCCCCTGCTCTGTCGCCCGCCACGCGTCGCACAGGTCCCAGTGCCGACACCCGTCCCAGTGCCCGTGCCGGTGCCTCAGGTGCGTCCCACAGGGCGCGGTCACGCCGTGCAGCAGTGTGGGCTGAACATGCGAGGACACGACTGCTTGGTAGTCTCTGCAGGACCGGTGTCATGGGCATGTATGAGAGTTGCTATTTGCGCTCTGTGGCACTCCCTACCTTCGTGTCCCTTGCAGCCATGCCGTCATCACTGCGCGCCCCCTCCGACCGACGGCCCACCCCTGCCGCCCCGCCCCGCCCCCTGCAAACCCGTGCTCGTGCTGCCAGCCTGTCTACCCGCAGCCCGCCCCCGTCCCCCAGCCCGCCTATCAGCCAGCATACCAGCAGCCGGTGTACCAGCCTACCTATCAGCAGCCTGTGTACCAGCCCGCATACCAGCAGCCCGTCATCTACCAGCAGCCCGTGTACGCCCAGCCCGTGGTGCAGTACGCCCAGCCTGTCGTGCAGTACGCCCAGCCTGTTGTGCAGTACGCCCAGCCCGTCTACGCGGCCACCACGGGAGGGTTTGGCAAGGGCAAGGGAGCCCTCGGGAAGATCTTCGGACGAAAGTAAGCCAGCAACGGCACAAGGCGCGGGAGGCGTTGCGCTGCTGCCATCCCCCCTCGCCCCTGTGGGCGGGTGGGGCACAGCAGGGCGAGCCCTGTCACGCGGCACTTGGAGGTGGAGGCGACGGCGCCGCCGCGAGCGGCCCTGTGGCCGTCTTGCACTCGGGCTTCTGGTAGCCCTCACGTGCGCAGCAGACCGCTTCGGGGCGCCCCGGTGCCTCGGCTGCGGATGAGCAACAGGCCTAACTGGCGCGGCTGCAAAATGAACGACCATTATATGTCATGTGGTGGCTTTTGTGACCCGAAAATACTTAAGAAATAATCAATCGTGATACTATAAGCGCACATGCAGCAGAATGCGCGCCTGTAGCGCATCCAGAAGCAGCGGCGCAGCTGCATGCTTTCTAAGCGGGCCGTGCAACAGGCGCCACAGCCCCTCCGCCATTGCTTTATCCAACATGTGATGATGATGTGGGCCACGAGCGCTCCAGACTATCATGCCGCCGCTTTCCAGCGTGACACATCTACTGACGTGGGGCAAATCGGCCAGGTTTTACTGCTGGTGTATGGGTGGTCCTGTTCTTTTGCCCTTTGTGGGCTCATGCCATCACATTCAGGGCTGTGTTGGGTGAGTTAGGGGCCCTTTTACACCTGCTTTTCGGCCCGGCCGAAATTTGCTGCGTGTAACACGTCACCCAGGTCATATACCTGCTTAGGTTGTGGACCCCTCATTGGTGATACAAGCACAGCTGCAGGTACAGTAACAAGATGGGGGGTTGCATGGAGCAGTGTTGCACCGTGACAAGCGTCTTGCCGCCGCACGAGATTTACGACACCAAAGCTGTTGCAATCAACTTGATCGCCAATACACCAGCAGCATTACAAGCAGCCGCGCACGGCTTGTCACCCGCGAAAACCCGCCGAGTGACACGTACGCGAATCCACAGCGGAAGGTGCCTCTCAAACCATATGTTTGTTTCAAGTAGTTGATTTAACCACCTCAAGGGCTTCCAAAATACTCGTGCTGTGCACATACACTCACGCTTCTCACGGTGCAGTCACAATCGACGCGTGTCGCGAGTTGAAAGCCGCTTCGAAAGGTGTTTAAGGAGTTATTATTTGCTAGTTAGTCCCTGAATCTCCCGTAGAGGTTGTTTCAGCACAGACGTTGCGTGCGGCGCGTTGCCGAGCTCTGGTAGCGGGTGAGAATCGTGCTATGTGCCATATGGGCCACTCCAAACTGCGTGTATGTCTTTTTTAGGCCTGAATGCGGTGCCGCTCGCAGAATGCGATCGGCGCCGCCCACCTGTGCCCACACCGCCCTGCACCCCGCCGAAAATGTGCAGGTGCCATGATGGCGCCGCAGCGCAAGCTCCTGCTGCATATGATGGTCGTGGCTCTTGCAGGTGCGCAGCAAATCAGCTGGCGGACGCCCTGCTGCATGTGCTGCCGGGGCCCTCTAAACAAGGACGGCCGCCCGCACCCCCTCCCCCACTACTGGCTGCATCTTGCCAACCCGCCCCTGATGGGCCACACCTTGAAAGACACAACCGGGTATGCGACACTCCCCCAATGTGCGCCCCCGCAGTTGGCTCCGCCTCTGCCAGCCGAGATTTGAAGGTCATCGGCAAGGGGATCACCACCATGACCCAGGCCGTCGCGGTCGCGGCGCCGATCTCCTTGCAGCCTATTTACCCCCAAAACGTCATCTTGGCGCCAGTCTACACACAGCCCATGGTCTATGGCAACGCCGCGGGCGTCTATCAGCAGCCTGGGTATGCTCAGCAGCCAACATACGCAAACACCGCCGGCGTACAGCAGCAGCCGCAAGCCGCTGAGTCAACGGTGAGCGGCCGGCCATGGGTGCGCGGCGCCCTCTCCGCTAGGCATAGGTCACGGCCACGCACACAGATGCATGCGCGAGGGTGCTGGACCACCCCCAAGAGCAGCGTAAGGCGTGCACGGGTTGTCACCTAACACGCTCAGCAGCGCTGGGGCCTGCTGCGAATGCGGCCGCGCCGAGAACACATTTCCAGAATGGGAAGTAGAGCACTCCCTTGGGCCCCCGGCTGCCTCCTCAACCAATCAAGTATGCGCCACTCAGGAGGCGCCCTGCTGCTTGATATCTTTGTCTCTGCCTCATTCACTTTTCAAACCCCTCCCTCAAACATCCACAAGCCACGCCTTCCCCCACACTCCTACATACATCGCTGCCCCAACCCAGAACAAGATCAACCCCATCATCGACCGACTCACGCGCGCCTTCGACCGCCTGAGCGGCCTGGGCGCCCTAAACGGCACTGATGACGAGCCCGACTACGCCGCCCCAACCAGCCAGTCTTATACCCGCCTCACCACCGCCGCCCGCTCCACCGGCGACGAGCTGCAGCGCCGCTTCGGGGGCGCCGCCGCCGCGGCCGCCCAGGTGCTCGCGCCCGAGGCGCCTTCGTTCGGGAAAGGGGCGGGGGGTGTGAACATCATGATTCCTGCCGTGAACTTCACGGTACCCGACCACCACAACGTCGTCAAGAACACAATTCAGACGGTCACAAACGTTGTGGCGTCGGAGCGCAAGGGCTGGAACAGCACTTTTTCGTTTTTCAAGGACACCTGGAAGCAGTCCACCGAGGACCTGGCAGAGTCGGTCAAGCAGGGCCTCAAAGGCGCGATCAAGGAGCTGCGCAAGCCGGCAAAGTCGCCGCCGCCACAGGTGGCGAGCGCGCAGGTCGCGCCCGTGATCGTGGTGCAGCCCGTGCCGGCGACGACGGTGGTGCCGGTTGTGAGCACGGCGGAGGTCAGGCCGACATACTACACGAAGATGAAGCCCATGGGCAAGGGCAAGGGTTTCTTTGGGTTTTAGGTCTCTGATTTTCTAGACGTCACCGGGAGTCTGCGAGCGCGGATCGCACGGCACGCGCTTGTGTAGCTGTGAGTTGCCGCCAGCGGCCGCCTTGCGGGCAACGAGGGGAGGGTGTCGCCTTGCCCGCTGGCAAGTGGCTCACGCAAGCGCGTCTTCACTGTGGGCGCCCGGTTTCTGCTCCGGCACACCTTTTCTGGGCCGCCCATCGGCCTCCCATCTCATTGCTTTATGACGAGGGTGTTTGTGGTGAGCAAAAGAGACACGATGCCAAGCTCGCCGCAGCCTGCGTGCTGCCGTTCAGCTTTCTTGTTCCCGAGCGCTGAAACAGCCGCTCATTGATTTTGTTCTGGCTGAGGTTGTGATCAACAACTGCCTCCCACTGCCCTTTGCATCTTTAGTACATCAACGTACGTTCCTCTACTTGTAAAATCATGCAGCTTGAATCTTGATCAACCAGCACTACCTGACACAGACGGTGCCGCAAAAAGGTTGGCTCTTCTGCATTGTTCACTCAAAGCCAGCAAGTTGCTTGCACATAATTGAAGCCGTGCCCTGGTGCAGCAAAGCGGGCCCAGGAGCCCACAACAACATACCCTGATGCGAAGTATGGCACAACAGAAGGCTGCATCAGCCGTTTGCCACACCACCTCACAGGAGTACGATTATTTCTTGCATTCCGATTGCAGGCCGTCCGGTGCGAGAAAAGGTCGTGCGCGCAACATAGTTGCTTGCGTCAGCCTGGTGTAGTGACCTGTGCGCAGCAGGACTCTGTTGCCTCCAGCTTTGACCAGCCCTCCTGAGGGATGGGTGATAGAGAGCGCACAAGCGTGTCAACTACGTCGGCAGAGGGGTATTATGCGGCTGGGCGGGGCGCTCAGAAATGTGCGGCATGTGCCGCAGCTCACAGGCGCAGTCAAAATTGGTCTCTGGAACGGGTCCTGGGGATGCATGGCCGACATGGTTGTGAGGTCGTGCTTGATAGTAGCACTGTCAGGCATGATGCATAACACATGTTCGGTCCAGAACCTGATATAGTGCAGCAATGGCGCTGTCCAGCGTCGGCTGCCCAGTGCCTTCTCACGCACCCAGCGCGCACCCACCATCCAGCTGAGTCACTGGCGAGGTGACGACGTTGCATGCCGCCCACCAGGCCAGAAGGCGCGCGAGGGATCTTATAACAGCGGTACCTTACTTTCCAAACGCGCACCGACGTTTGCCGCGCTGTGATCTGGTCTAAACGTAGTACACTCTGATTGCGCAAACCTACAGTAGCTCGCGGATATCTGGGATATAATTACCCTATCATCTCAACATCAACCAGCCCGCGGAGTCTGCAGGCAGCTCTGCGCGCGATTCCGCCGTGCAACAGCATGCGCCCGCGCGCCACGCGCCCGCCCGCCGCCCCCTGCCGCGCGGCCGCGCAGCCGCGGTAGCGCCCGGCGCCCCGCAGCCGCCATGTTCTCCCTGATCTCCGGGTTCGTGGAGGTCATGCTGAGAAAGGAGGAGTTCCACATCCTAGTCATCGGCCTCGACAAGGCAGGCAAGACGAATGTGGTGGAGCGCCTAAAAACGCTCCAAACAGACGCCGTCGGCCTCGAGCCCGCCCGCATCGTCCCCACCGTCGGCCTCAACGTCGCCCGCATGGAGGCGTTTGGCGCCAACCTCGTTTTCTGGGACCTCGGGGGCGCGCCCGGGCTCCGCGCGATCTGGGACAAGTACTATGCAGACTCCCACGCGGTCCTCTTTGTCGTCGACGCGGCGGCGCGGGACCGATTAGATGAGGCAAAGGCGGCGTTCGACAGGGCGCTGGCGTCTCGCGATTTGGGGGGCGCCCCGGTGCTGCTGCTTGGCAATAAGCAGGACTTGGAGGGCGCGGAGGGGTTGTCAGAGTTGGCGGAGCGCTTCGGCCTGACCGGCGCCGCCGCCGCCGCCGACGCGCGCGCGCGCGGCGCGCCGTGCACCGCGCAGCCCGCGTCGGCGCACACGGGGGCGGGGCTGAGCGACGGGATGAAGTGGCTGGTGGAGGCACTGAAGCGGAGCCCGCGGCGGCGGCTGGTGGCACGCGCATCTTGAGATGTATCTGCGGCGCGGCTGCACCGCAGCAAGCAGCCCCCGCGCGCGCGCGTGCGTTTCCTGCGCAGCCGAGCGCTCGCTCCCTTTCCAGGCACCAGCCTAGTGGGGGCAGGCGGCAGGGGCTGACGTCCCGGCCGCGGCCACAGTCAGCGGCTGCCTGCCACGGCAGTCGCGCGTTTGCACGTATTGCCGACGACGCCGTTGCTCTGCCTTTCACTCTGCCTGCTTGCACCTTGACCTCTGACCCGCCCCCGCTAGCAAGCACGTTTGCGGAGCGCGCAGCCCTGCACGACTGCAGGGCGCCGCCCTTTTATGAAATGCACTAGTGAATGCAGCGTACACGAATGTGTAATAGTACCGAAAATTCCTTGTGGTGCGCTGCACCAGCCAGCAGGCAGCCAATATGCACTGCCCTGCTCAGCCGAGCCCCAGATATGCCAGTTTATGCAGGCTGCACCTCAAAGCGCCCGGGAGGCAGCAAGGCCTGCTCACCCATGCCCTGCTGGGGTGGTGCGCAGACGTGTGTGCGCCGGCGAGCAATGCGCCTGTGGCATTAACAGGTACAGCATATTTCGACGAGCAAGCACCAGACGCGGCGCTGCCCCTTGCACCGATACAGCACCCCTGCCGCCTCCGATACCTGCGCCTGCTGCATCGCAAGCAGGCGGCGCCTTCAATAAGAGTGTGCGAGTGGTTACAGCAGCAGCAAACGCATCAACAGGAGCTGTCGACCGCAATCAATTCAAAGTGTGCCTGCGCCTGCAACGCGTCATCATCATCATGACCATCCAGGCATGTCTCGTCCAATCTGCTAATCTATCGGTCCCCGCCCCGCGCCAGCGGCCGCGGCCGGCCGGCGCCCGAGCGCTGCGCATGGGATGGTTGTTTGTGGCAAGCGCGTGCGCGCGAGGCGGAGGGCCGGGCGCCACCTGTCTCTGCCTGTCTACCCGACCCTGAGAGGTTGTGCTTATCGCCGATCAGCGCAATATGCAAATAGTGGTGCCAACACCGCATATGCCCAGACCCTACATTGTGCACATGCGTGCCCCCGGGCGGCCGCATATAGGCCCTGCGGATGACCATGCAACCATGGCCTGGCAACCGTTTGCGGGGGTTAACGGGGCGGCAACAAGACGCGGTTTGCGCGAGCCGAATTGCTGTGTCTGCCCGTGCTGATGCTCTCGGCGCGTGCGATCAAGCAGGGGCGCAGGAAATCAACCTGCGGCGGCGCGCGCGGCCACGCGCGGGGGTCGGGAGGCCGCGGCGCCGGCCGCGCCCGCTGGCGTGTGGGGGGCGAGCTTGTGCACGCTGCGGCAGGGGGAGGGGGTTGCGGTCGCGAGCTGCAAAGTAGCCTGTGCATGCGCGGTGCATATGCGTATACTGCTAACCCAAGGGCCTGGACGGTCCTACTGACCGCGCCGCCTCCTCAGCCGCCACCCGTCAGACAGGTTGCAGGCGCGGTGCGCCACGCGCAACGCGGGGCTGCCGGGGCCCCCGGGTTTGCACAATCCTAGGGTATGACTAAAACTTGATGATGCACGCAGTCATTCACCTGCAAATCTGAGCTCACAGGGTTTGAACGACAGCGTGAGAGCGCACGAAAGGTTTGAACGAGCCGGATGTGCAGCGCTGCCGGCGTCGTCAGAGTGACGTCATCGCCTGGGCCGCGATGGAAATTGACCGACGCAGGCAGGGGAGGGCGCGAGGCCCGACGGGGACTCGCAGGGCGTTGCACATTATCACCGGGGCCGCCGCGGGGGCCCGGAAGATGAGGGGACACCGTGCCACGGCTGTCACCGGCAGGCGCACGCCGCGCACGGGAGCCTGCGCCCCGAGACCGGGGTCCCGCAAGCCGCAAGTTGACAGTGCTGATGCGCAGCCGTGCAGGCGGCGGTGCCCCCAGCTTCGGTTGCGGCAGGCGATCCTGGGTACACGCGATCCGGCCGCTCATTGCCAAGCCCCAACCTCAGCGACGACCACATACTAAACCATAACAACGACCAATGACTATCAATCAAGCAACGCGCCCCGGCCCGCTGGCGGCCAAGGGTGACAAACGGCAAAGAGGATGCAACTCGTGCTGCTTGTGCGTGCAACCAACCCGGCGGCACGGGGCCTCAGGTGCGCGCAGGTGTGCTAATGCTCAAATGGTGCAACCTGGGCGATGGTGAGACGGCTCTGTTGTGGCTTGGTGTGCGTGGCCTGAGGTTTTGGCCAAGGGGCCTCTCCGGCCTCTCGCCGCGGCGGCGCCGCGCCGGCCCCCCCTCTTCCGCCGCACGGCAACGGGAGGGGAAAGGGGATAGGCGCGACGCCTTGGCAGCGCGTCTGCCTACTGCTGCATGCCTTCCTACGGGTTGCCTGGGGAGAAGCGCCGGCGGCGCCGCGAGACGTATTCTTCGTCAGTGCTGGGGCGAGGGCGGGCCAGGGGCGGTGGTGCGGCGGTGGCGTCCGCTGCGGAATGCAGCGGCTGCCGCGAGCGCGGCCGCATGATGGGTATCGGGAGCGAACTGGGCTGCAGAACGAGGTACGAGGTAACGGGGTTTAGGGAACGAATACATGGGGAAGATCCTTGGAGGATCAAAGGCAGGTGGCCGGGCGTGAGCAGCGGGGGCCGCAGGTTGCAGGGGAGGCGCCGCGGCTGCGCGGGGCACCGTCTCGGCGCCCCGGCCGGACGCGTTGCGGCCCTCATTCCCGCACGGCCGGGAGTCTCACTGATCCGAAGTCTGGGCCTGATCTGGTCTGATCTTATCTCATCTGATCTAGTCTGCCTGTTGCGAAACGCCTGCCTATACGCTGCACTGAACCTGCCACGGTTGGATGGTATGTGCGAGGGACGCTGCCGTACGAACGGCGGCACGCGCGCGCACGCCGGCGGCCACGGCGCGGGGGCTTAATAGGACAGCCCCACGCCACCGCCGCCGTCGCCGGCTGCGGGCTGCTCCCGCAGGGCCCCTGTGCCAGGCAGCAGGCCCATGGGGACCCCCAGCAGGGGCGCCCCAAACATGCCCGGCAGCCCGCCGCCGCCGCCGCCGTCCGGCGGGGGCCCGAAGCCGCCGCCGTTGTGATGCAGGTACGACTCCTGCTGATAAAACTGCTGGGAGTAGTGCTGCGCGGCGGCGGCGGCGGCGGCCGCCACTGGGTC